CTCCGCACTTCCCACCTGTAGAACTTCCTCCCGAATTCTTGCCACAATGATAGATTCTTCTTCTTGTGCCGATTGTGGCACCATGCATACCTGACGAGCTGAGAGGAATATTCATAGATATATGATTTGTTTTTTTACGATTTATCAACCATTTAATAATTATTTAAGGCCGAAAAAAAATTTGGGGTTTTAAGAATAATTCTTTCTTTACATTCAAGCGATCTGGAAGAAAGAAAGAGAAAACGAAGAAGAAAGAAAGAAAAAATAATACGAAAACAGGTCATAGGCGAGCACACACACGCACTGCTAACAGATAACAGGTGTCGAAAAATATCCGGGTCAAGCATCTGACCGATTTCCGCGGAATCCACGAAAAATGGAAGTTGTTATCAATTGGTTGTCACCCAAGAGGAAAAGAAGAAACGAAGTTTAGGGACAATGAAAATATTGATAAGTACCAAGGGAAGTGTGTCATTGGAATGATAGTAAAAGTCTAAGTGGGTGGGGAAGTGTATCTAAGGATATGAAGACAAACCATGAATACGAAAACATAGACAGTCTCCAGAATTAGAAAAAGCCCACACAAAGTGGTCACTGCAAAATTTTTTTGAGATAATAAAGATTTTTATTATCAGACCTTCGAGCGGAGGAAAATTGAAATATTTTTATTCCGTTTCAGAAACGCCAGTGAGTCTGAGAAATTCCTTTCTTAGATCATATCCAATTAGCGATAAACTGCTTGACAAATACCACGTGTTGGAAAGCCAAGAGTGTCATCTCAGTCGCTCATGATAAGGGCGATTTGAATTAATATTTTTGTTTTTTAAGCAAGGTATCTCTTTCCCAAAACAAAGCCACGGATTGTCCACGCCCGACTAAAGACGTCATTGGCTAAATAAGATCACATGACACACGAAGGAGGAGGAAAGATACCTGACCAGGACCTCATTGACCGAGAGCGGTCACGTGACGCACGAGGAGAATCGCTCGACGCCCCTGTCAGAAGTGTAAGTGTAAGGAGCCGATACGAAGAAGCGGGAAAGCGGGTACACGCCCCTCAGAGGCACAGTAAGGGAGTGGAAGTGAGAGTGAGTTACCGAAAATGGAAAAGAATGAAAAATCCCTAACCAGAAATAAGAAGGGTGGATACGTATTTAGAATTATCGAAGAAACCCCTGGCGCCGACAGACCCACCCCAGTTTTGACTGCGTCAATAAAAGCGAGACCCCAACCGACAGAAATCAGAGTTTCAGCCGCGGACGGCAAGCGGAGTGGAACCGCGAACGGCGGCCCGAGTTAGGTCGCCCACTTTGCGGGCAGGAGAGGCCAGTTCGTTTGGCCTAAGTGAAGAAGTTCGTCCGACCCAAGCCGAAGAGAAGAAGTTAGTTCGCGCACCGACGGCGGAGATGAGTGACCAGTAATACAGACTCTGAAGAGAAGAAGTTAGTTCGCGCACCGACGGCGGAGATGAGTGAGCAGTAATTCAGACTCTGAAGAGAAGAAGTTTCAGTTCAGCCGCGGACGGCGAAAGAGAAGTTTTGAACCTTGGACGACAAGCAGAGATGAGCGCCCAGTGTTGAAACCGCGTCAAGATAGCTGACCAAGATTCACGCACACTTCTAGACTCTTCTTCAACCAAGAACAATTAGTTTGAAGAGCGACTTAGAATCAGACCACAGAAATAAGTTTTTTTTCGACTTTCGTCCAAAGACACACCGAAACACAAATTTCTTAGAGAGCAGACAACTGGAAGCCTTAAAGTTGCCTAGTAAAAAGCGTCGTGCCACAATCCACAGAACGGGTCGGGAAGTAGACATAGTCCTATGTACCGAGCAAATAGACATAAAAAGTTTGTTACCTTTTTCTTTGATACGTTGGACATTGTGAGTGTTTATTTTCTTTTCTTTTTATACATAATTGTGTTATCACCCCGTTGGACTCAACTTGCATTACGGCCCCAACCCTGTTTGATCTCGTCTGTCTAAGATCAATTCACAACGTGGGTAGGCAGACTAGAGATCAGTGCAGTTACCCTGGTAACCAGGCGTTGGAAGCGGGTTGGGAACGGCGAGGCTGGTATCAATCTAACCAAAGGGTTAGAACGTCACGTTTGGAGCAGCGAGGAGCGAACAGCTGACGCCGCGGCGAAGACGTCACAGTTGGTGCTGTCCGTGACCAGGATATCAGAGCCTGGGGAGCACGTGACGTCACAATTGGCGCCGCGACCGGGATCGAACGACACAGTCGACGCTGCGACCGGGGACGACGTCACACGAGTCCTCTCATGTTATAGACGATTATGGCTCTCCACAACTTCCTTTTCCTTGCAGTTCTTGTATTTTTGTTGTTTCTCATAAACCTTGTTTCTCAATGCATTTACTCAAGCCCACTGTGCATACTGTGCA